TGATGATGATGATGATGACCCGAGAGACGAGTTGACAACTGAAAGGCGAAATAACCAACAGAACATTCCAAACCTCCGATTCATGTAATTGTAATGGAATCTGTACTTAATTAATGGGTGGTGTTGCCTGCTCCTTCTTTCCTTGACAAAACCTTTTCAAAAGCACCAAATTACCTCTAGTTTCGGTTTTAGAATTAACCCCTTCGCTGCTGAGGCCTTTCCACCTAAGTTTGTACAGACATGATGAAATGTTCATTCAAGAAATATCCTAACAAAGTCAAAATATCTCCCCTTTTTTAAGATTTAAGAATGCACAACAGGAAAAGTCGTGTGACATCTTCTGTAACTCCCCGTACAAACGAGTACATGTACAAACATGGCAGAGAACCAGTTTAGGTAAACACGCGAGTAGATACGTCTCTACACAGTAGTGAAGAGGTTAATCGCTTGCTTTAAAAAAGCAAAAAAACAAACAAAACATGTCATTCGGTACTTTTACGTCGTTTCCGTCTGATTCTGGTCCCCAGAAGGAAAACTCTTGTTCGGTCAGATCCCTCTGTTGGAGATAGACGGCCATCAGATCGTTCAGACCAGAGCCATCGTGCGCTATGTGGCAAAGAAAGCTTCCGGCTCGCTGCTGGGAAAGAACGATGCCGAGGAAATACGGTAAAACTTTTTTTGGGTTATTTATTTGACTTTCCCCTTCCTCTTGTATTGTCAGATGTCGAGGGAATACGGTAAAACTTTGTTACTTAACTTACTTTTCCCTTCCTTTTGTAGTCTCAGATGTCGAGGAAATACGGTAAAACTTTGTTACTTACCTTACTTTTCCCCCATTCCTCTTGTATTGTTAGATGCCGAGGAAATACGGTAAAACTTTATTAATTACCTGACTCCCCTCCCTTCCTCTTGTATTGCTAGATGTCGAGGAAATACTGTAAAACTTTGTTTCTTTACCTCACTTTTCCCCCATTCCTCTTGTATTGTTAAATGCTGATGAAATACGGTAAAACTTTGTTATTTACCTTTCTTGTTCCATTTTCTTGTAGTCTTAGATGTCGAGGAAATACGGTAAAACTTTGCTACTTAACTTACTTTTCCCTTCCTCTTGTATTGTTAGTTGACAATGAAATACGGTAAAACTTTTTGGTTTACCTCACTTTTCCCCTCCTCTTGTAGTCTTAGATAGTGAAGAAATACGGTAAAACTTTGCTACTTAACTTACTTTTTCCATTTTCTTGTATTGTTATATGTCAAGGGATGGTGCACTTTTCGTTCTAGGGCTAGGGGAACCATCATCACCAATGATTTATTTATATATGGAGGCACCAGCCATCCGTG